CAAATCTTTGTAATTTTATTTATTAGACTGGCATAGTGAAAATACACCCTTTTTACAACTTATAAAACTGCTAACCTCAGGCGCAAATAGGTTTTTAGTGTTGTCTCTGATTTGACTTAAATAAAATCATTCTTAGTGGATTGGTAAATATTTTTTTCACTACCAAACTCTTTCTGTAGTATTTTAGTTTCCTACAACTACAATTTATATTTTTTAATTCAGTTGTTGAACTTAGGTTTGTGGACAATTCGTACTACGACATAATCCCATTTATATCTCTCAGTTAGAAACAGTTTTCATCACCGACATCAATCAAGTCAAAGAATTTTTCACATATTATTTCCACATATATGCACATGGAAAGAATATGTAACATATAACTTAGGTGTGATATCAATAATAAAATCTGATTCTATCACAAGATATACAAAGTTGTGTCTTGAACATATAGAAGTTTGAGAGATTTTCAAAAAACTAACACATTTTTAAGATTTGTTTAGTAAAAATAGAATCTAGTAAGCTGTGCATCAAATTAAGTTCTTAGAAAATAATATTTAGATTGGTAATATTCATAACTCAAACAAAAAAAAACTTGTGTATATTTTTCAGCTCGTATATTTCTTTATGCTTATTCAAGGTTCGTTATATTTCTTTGTTCCTGTGAACCTTTTTATTGCGTAAATTTTTCAATTCTTCGGATACATAGTAAGTAATTTGCAGTTTTGATGTATAAGACATTTCACACTTAACTTCTTTTAGGGCTGATTATACCTACCTACCAAACATGTTGCTACTAAATGGCCCATACATGGATGTTCCTTTTGTATTCAAGGCAAATAAGGTTGATCCATATAAAGGTATAACTAACCCAGAGAAGATTTATGTGAAGGCAATGAAGATTGAGCCAGTCACAATAACCAGATATATGTTTGATGATATTAAGTTTTGCTATCCACGGCCACAAACTAACTTTACAGGGTATGGCATTGATCGTAGATGTAATCATTTTTACAAAACAACAAGTTCGGACTATGGATTTTATCCTCCAGATAAGCACACAATTCCGAGACGTTTCTATTGTAAAAAATCTGAACTTACTTCAACTCTTACGGACTTCTCTCCACACATGGGCCTACATTATACACTTAACCTATTAAAGAAACCTACACGTTTCATTGTCAAGAAACCACAAAAGTAATTATCGGGAACTGAAAAAATTTTACTTTAGTAAAATGCATATTTTTAATTATTTAATTTTATTTAAAATTTGTCAAGAAAACTTGAACAAATAAAAAGTGCAGAATACGTAATATCACATCCTTTAATTGTATTAAATGCTTTATGAGGAAAAAGAGTTCAGTCCCTTAATTAATATATAATATAACATATTTTCCATCACACATTTATTATTGCATTTATTTTGCGGTATTATTATTTTACGTAAGTAGTACAGACAATACTTTACATTGAATGCATTCAGGTAAATGAATCATATTTACATTCATCATATCAAATGACTTCTCTTGCACCTCCTAAGAAAAGTTTCTGGATTTCACAAGTATGGATGCTTTATCATTGATATGATATGAATCGTATTATATGTGAGCCCCGATTTATTTCTTTTTCGACTAATGAAATTGTAAGATTTTTATGCATGTAACTTTTTCTAACGTACTTAGGACCTTTAAGCATATTTCATTTAAGTTTATATAGAAATTGCTGCATAACATAGTTGCTAGTCTGTATAGGGCGTACACAGAGTGAAGCACCATATGAACTTAAGGAGTTATTTATAGATAAGCAGTTTTTTATAGCTTTTATTTTTTAATATTAATTCGAGATATTTTAAGGTACTATTGACATTGTTTTTTCAAAGAGATCAACTACAAACGTTAAGTACTTTTGAACCTACTCAAGTCAAATGAAATATTTAATAACCTAAATAATTATGTATGGACTGAATACCGACTAGTGGTTTCTTTCGAATGCCTGAGATTTCATTCTTTATATCGCGTAATTATTTAAATACTTGCCTTTACATATATTTTTTTTTTCATTTCATTTATGGTATAAAGGAATCATATACCGAAAATATAGCGATTTAAAACATATAATGATAAATATATTTATAAGTCGTATTGTCCCGTGCTGCTAAATAAAATATTGAATGTAAGTTTTATAATATCTCCGACGTCTTCTTGTCTGTGTTACCAATCGCTGGCACACTTGAAATACTTTTATTCGTAGTCAATAAGTGGTATTAAGAAATTATTTTTTTTAATTTTATTTTTTTTTTGTGAGCATTTATATTTATAATTTGTATTTATATTTCTTTTTCTTTGTAATCAATAAAATGATTGCTTAGTGTTATACGCGCATTTGCATGCAAATGATTTTCTGCAGCTGCGGCCGTTCTCACTTCTAAAATAATTAAATCTCACTCCCTACAAGGACATGTATGTACTAAAACCCCCCCATTTTTGATAACTGCTATTGACAGACGTAGCAATTACAAAAAATCAATTGATAATGGTTACGATAACAATAAATGTTATTTTCAGTTAGTTAATTGATTTAAGGCTTTAAAATAAAAAACTGAACATTGCTTTTAATATTCACCCAATAAAATTTTTATTAATTAAGTAATAGCCGTTTATGGCAATTTTCAACTAAAAATATATACATACCAGTGCCTCAAATATTATTAGCTCTATTTCGAACGTCAAAATATAACTGTACTCGAGCACAGCAAGCAACTGGGATATGCTCGAAGACTATATTGTCTCCAAGCAGTTATTGTTAACATTATTATTATAGAAATAAAATAAAAATAAAATGACAGCAAATCTGTTGTATCAATAACATGAACATATTATACTTAAAACAGCTCATATATTTTAGAATGTTTGAAATGTTTTCTGTAAATTCCCAAACTCAAACTGTGCTTTACAGCGTTATCATACGTACAGATATAGAATATTTTCGACTTATGTGGTATTTATAGGGAAATTGATTTCTTGCCCTGAAAAATAAAATAATCGTATTAGACGAAAAGAAGTTTATTTAGAATATATTTCAATACAAAGGATTTTATAAAACATCTACTCTAGCAAACTCTGGAACCTTCAGTCCAACAGATACCTTTTATTTCGGTCACTTTTCATTCTTCTGTACCAATATTTTACTATCCTACAAAGTTTTTCAGAAAAATGTTCCTATCACGCACAATTTATCTTGTAATCTTTTTAATCTCTTGTAAAAAGCAGATGAACAATAAGACTACATTAGTCTAAATCATGAATATTTCGAAAGTATTACCGATAAACAATTTGTATTTATAATAATTTATGAACTTCAAATAGAGTTCCAACTTTAAACACACCCACAACATCAGAATGGTTTATAATTTGCTGAATCTTAAACCTTTTAATTGTGACATTAATAGCAAAATATTCTAAAGTTCACACTTTAAGGAAACTTTTTCAATTAATTTTGGAAATTTATTACATTAAAATGTGTCCCATGTATTTATTTTGCAAATTCGTTGGAAATTCTTCCTGAAAACTTTCGAATTATTTCAGTATTTTCTGAGATTATGAAATGCATTTATCACTGCAGCAACAAAATTAAAATGTTTTCCACAATTTACTGTAAACAGAAATTGAGAATTTCATTAAGAAGAAATTAGTCAAGAAAAGTGCAACTGTAATAAATTATTTTCTTACTCTTTATCTATTTTGTTAGTCAAAAAGAGACAAAAACAATATTAACAGTGAAATTAATGAAGAAACTAAAACTGGTTGATTTAAAGAGCTGTGAAAAGTTTACAACTTATTTATAATAGAATGTCTTTTACTTTATCTAATGTTATTATAAAAATGTTTTATTTCGCTAAATATATATGCTAACTGTTCGTGAATGTGTGCTTACAAAGATCCATAATCTGAATAAACTTAGAAGATTAATTTGATAAAGTAGTTTGAGTACTTGTGACCCAGACTAACTTTTACTTTTCACCCAGCTTTTACTTGTGGAAAAGCACGATAAGTCGAGTTCTAAGCCTAGTACTTGTATTTTAAACGGACTATAAACTGATTAAAAAAATTCAAATATTTCCTAAGACTACTAAAGGATGGGTACTTGGCAATACTCGAAACAGCGCTGTATGATCAGCGAAACTTCAATAAACTAACTATTTTTATTGTTGTCTTTATATTACTATTCGAGCTTTTCTAACATCAAACAGTTTCTTCAGTATTCAAATATTAGTATGCAAATAATTAAAGAATAAATTATAATATAAAATTATTATAACATAAACATTGATATCTATTAATAACAATACATACGAATATTAAATAATTGTAAGCATAATCACTAACAAAATCAATATTCCAAGAAAAGTATCACATATCTTATAAAGAATATACCCTATATCTTTCCAGCAAGTACTTGAAAAACTTTTTATAAATATAACTAGTTCCACTTCAGAAAGCGTCTCTACTTAACCTCAACATTACATATGTTTTCTGGTTTTTTTTTACCTCCATGCACTAATGATCAATTAAACGATTTTTCAAAAACAAAGTTGGATTAATTCAAACACCCTTACATATAAGACTCAGTACATCATAAAATCATATTAATCCTGCAGGAAGTTGCAGAAAGAGTTTTCTGTATTTTTCAGGAAAATCAGTTTTTATTTTTATAATACAATTCTTCCAAGGTAGTATAAAGATTTATGGATTGTCAATTTTAAGAAAATTTTCCGTTTTTGTACTACTTTGGAAACAGGGCTTAATTCCCACTTTACCAAAACATAGAAAGGAATGTTAATACTGTAGTTAACCTGTGCCGCTCCAAGGGAAGAATCGCATTTCTTTTTTCATCTTATTATTTCTATAATAAAATAAAATGTCACACTACAACTCTAAATGTGACATATTTTTTATTTTAAGTTTTACAAGAAAATCAACAGATTCATTCTTTAATTTTTAATGTATCAAGTTATTAACTTGATAGTCTGCTATTCCTTCACATAAACTTTACACGTGTTACACTGCCAAGACCATGCCGTTCTTTACACCCAAATATGACACAACTACTTTAAATCTTCTGATGTTGATAAATGAAATAAGAAAGAAGCACAGTCATCCTTTCTAGCGGAAGGATGCAGCTGCTGTGTTACTGGTGTTGTTTTTCGTGCCAACAAACAATCCAAAATTGTGGCTGTTGCTTTCCATGTTAAAATTCTGCTTCCGGGCATATGTTCCACATATTTTTTATTGTTAAGTATTGCTTAGGCTTGTCTTTGGCCTGCGAGTAAATTTCAGATCCAGTATATTTTGGTGCCTATAAAGTGGCTTAATACTTTTTGTTTTTAAGTTGAGTATACAATTTTTATTGCATTTAAAGTGTAACTAAAGTTAGTCGTTTAAATAAAATACGTCTCTAAATCTTATATTTTGGAAAGTTAAAAAAATTAAATCAAAACAGTGTAAGTGCTATATAGCATACACATTTGAATGGAAAAAGAATATTTTTACATTTGACTGCATTTGACAGTTGCATATATTGTAGTTGTATATAACAACGTGAGTGAAGACTTTCCAGACGCAAAAGCTTCTTCAATATAAAGCTTTAATATCCAAATAGTAGCTAATTAGTTTAACAATATTATATTTTTGATAACTTCAGAAATATCAATAATTTGAAGACATTAGCTTACAAATTATTTTTAAAAAATATATATTATTATAATATTAGATCTAATAATACCAAAAATTAAGTTTATAGTATATAGGAAGAATTCATAAAGCAAATTCACTACATTGTTCGTCTTCGTCGCTGAAGGTGGTAGAGTAATAATGACACTAAAGCCCAACAAACGACTTATCCACATACAGTCAAATCAATATTCTCTTACGACATTTCTCCAATTATTATTGATTTTGAATAAGCTTGTGATTATACTAAAACATCATTTTCAATTCAGAAAATACAATAACAAAAGCATTTGTAACAATATTAATTACCGGAATTTCTGTATTGTATCAGTCGTGGAGTTTCACAAGGAAATATGCAATATCATACTTGCCGCTGAATTGCCTATCTCTCTTATCCTCATCTTCCAGTAAAGCCAGTGTAAATTAATTAAATAAGTGTAACATTATATATAGAAACTGATGAGAAGTACAAACTGAAGTATTTCAATATCTGTAAATACAGCTAAGACTAATCGATGAAT